GGATTGTTGACTTGTATTAGTAAATAAAAAAGGCTGATAACACTGATGGGTGTACCACTGTTGGAAGGGATGATATAATAATAGAGCGATTAAAACTACATCTGTACGCAACGAAAAACAATTCTGAGCGTAGTATTAGTCGTATTTTCTCAAATGTGCCACGGTTACTAACATGCAGAATTTAAAAAGAGATATAAAAACATTTGTTTACATTTATTTAGAAAATTACTGCGATATCCAACAAGATCGATAATTCTACGAGAATGTTTCTATAACGTTTTTGATTGGAGCAAGGTTTCTTGTAGAAAAGTTTTTATTAGACATGAAAAAAAAAAAAAACACATCGTAATAAAACTATAATGTAATTCGCTCAGAATTTTCATTTGTATTTATTATTATGTGCACAAAAAACATAATATTATATATTATACATTTTATTTTCTCACTTTCCTTACACAATAAATTATACACAGTAAATTATAAACATTCACTATCGTGTCAAGTACATATAAAAAAAAATAACGAATAGTAAATAACTAATATAGCAGTGTTATTGTTAAATAGATGTTTGACAATACTTAGATAATACAATGTTATAGAACGAGGGAAAAAAGTATTAGTGGGTATTTATTGTCAGTTATTTCTGGTTTTGGATGTCCACACCGATGAGGATCCATTGGTTGGGAGTACTTAGAATAAACGTGGGTTGGAAAAAGTATAAAATAATCCATTTGATCCATTTTTGAACATCCAGAATTCCCTTACTAGTGAACTATGCTGCGAACGCGAGTTCAGAATTTCAAATATATCTTAACCCGTGGTTGCTAAAGGTGGTAGTATCTAGACACCTCGTTGTCAGAGAAATGATAAGGTTATTGAAGCAATGAAGCTACCAAGGTGACTACAATTAATAGACATCTACAGCGGCTTGCAGTAATACCAATATCGAAAAGATAAAATTTTAATCAAAATGTAGTTAAACCAACAATATGGAAAAAAATATTGTTTTAAATCATTATTTGAAATCGCTGAACTCTATTGAGTTCAGTAGCTGCAGGTGTCCCATGGAGATTATCTAAGATTACTGAGGATTATAAAAACTTATCCGGGATTATCTATTAACTAAGATCAGGATTAAAAAACCTGTGAAATTGGTATAATGGTATATCGACAGCTGCTACGTATCAAAACCTTGCAACTCGATTATTACAACTTATCTAAAAGAGATAAAAACGCTTGTATGGTTCAATATTTTAAAATTTTAAAATGTTACTTTGCATTTATGATTATTCAAAAAATATAACTGTTTAATAAAAAAACCTAATTTCAACTATAGTAAAGTGTGATAACTAATTTATCCCACAACAAACTCAGATTCACGAGGTAAATACATTTTAATTTATTTAAATTTAATGTATTAATTGATGTATTTATGTATAGATAGTACTGCAATACAATTTTATTTGAAAACTAAATTCAAACGTGAAAACCTAGTTGGCCTCTTTATTTTTTAGACTAAATCCCCCCCATCCCGTGAACTTTCTTTTCGTGCATTTGTTTAAAGTCTCTTGGTAGTTTCGGTTTTCTCCTCTTCCATGTAGCAAACATGTTTGTCTGCATTAGTTTTAAAGAGTATCAGGCAAGTTAAACAATTGGAATTTTGATTCTTCCAGTGATTTTTGGAATCGTCATCAATTTTTTTACGGAAATCGTACATACTTTTTCTCCACAATTTAATGCCAGAATAATCTGTATTTAAATCATTTTCCGTGCTACGTAGTTCTTAACGAGTTATTTTGTTCGGCCTTGTAAATAAGTCATTTTCACGTTTTGTTTTGACTCGGAAATGTACTATTTGCCTACAAACGATATTTTCCGAAATAATATCGCGACTGTGTTCATTAAGCGCGCTAAGAACATTCGTGACATTATTGTCAAGACATATACTTGATTGACAATTTTTGTTAGCGTACCGATACCGAATGCTGTCTACGTTTTTAATTACTTCGCATTCCCACATGGCTTACATTTTCCAGTTTCAAACTTTTTTGATGTCGATAGATCCTTTTTTTAACACTATTGTTATTTTCACGACAGCGCACTTAACGAAACGCAATTAGCGAATTAATATTTCGTTTGTTTCCGCACGAGTCACAGCCGTCAACAGGCAACAACCAACAGTCAATCGCAGCCCAAATGTGAAATCCGATCACGACACTATCAGTAACGCACGTTGATACCTACAGTCTACATCTACGGGTGCACGTACGTGATATCACAACATACCCGGTTATACGTATTGGGAAACCAAGTCCGACTATGTGTTTAAATAGTGTATTGGAAAATGGAACACACACACACACACACACACACATAAATATTGAAGCGCAATCGTGTTGCGTTTTATGCAGGTGAAAAAATAAAAAAGGTAAAACGGGCTCGATCGTGCTAATTGGTCGGGCGCGATCGTGTTGCGCCGATTATTTTTAATGGGAAATTTATACCGGTATAACCATTGACCAAACGACTTTCCAGTATGCATATGGGACCCGTGTGTTCGAGACTATTCGAGTATTGGATTTTCCCACGTGGTCCTATCGAACAAAAATAACGATTTCATTATTCGCAATTTTTACGGCTTATGTTTTCTACCATAAGTATTGCTCCAATAGATGAACAACACGAAACATTTTTTGTTGCATTTTTAATCCAGTTCTATAAGTGAGTTGTTCGTTTTTTTTTTTTTTTTTGATTTTTCTGTAGTTTTATTAATAGAATTGGGGGAAAAAAAAAACGTGAAATTAAAACTGACAAATATACGGCGTTACGATCTCGATATTTCGATATTTATGGCCTACGGTCAATATCGTTTTTCGTTAACGATGGTTTATCGTTGGTAACAGGTACGAATCGAACCACTTTATGTATCCCGCGTTCCAACTACCTACCTACAACAGCGTCCGCTGTATCCGATCTTTTTTTTTTTTTATTTCCCTTTTAGTTCTCCTATTAATTGTGAAATACCGGAAAATGTACGGTTCCGTTATTTTCGAATTTTTATTATATAAAACGTAACGGCGTAGCAGGTAGTTGTTTCGTTTCCGTAAGCTTTTCAAGTTTCAATTTTAATCAGAATCGCAAAAGTCGCAACATTTCAAAACACGTTTAACCATCAGCGGTATCGGCTCGGTTTTTTTTTTTTTTCTATTTTGTTTACCTTTCCGAATCCATCGCCTTCGCCTGCGGATACACTGCTCTGAATATGTCACACAGGTATACATAGGCCGTTTGCTACACACGAGGATTTGACACTCACGTAATCTGGACGGAGGGAACAGCCGGCCTGTATTACATTTACTGCATCTGCACCGGCGGCGGTGGACGACGATCGTTAACTAATGGAACCCATAATTCAGCTTTGGCTGCAGCGGGAGGTTTATCCCCTATAGAATCCCGACTTGCACCAGCAGCGTACATCCCGAGGGATTCTTGGGTCGTATATACGGGGATTTAACGGGTTGATTCGACGCGGCCGCCGATTATTTGATTATTGGGTTGTTTTTTTTTTTTCGTTTCTATAGCGTCCCGAATTCCGATCGCCTCCCGAAACTGCCGTCGCGTTACTCTCGGACCAACGTAAATTAAATTATCCAATAATAGTATTATGATAATGGGCTGCACGACGTGCGTATAGATGTCTGATGAACTCGCGGAGACACTAGTAATAAAGAATACGTGATGATATTGCGCGATGTATCATCACCGTGACGAACATTATTTGTTGTCAGGTGTCCATTGAATTGTCGAACTATCGATACGGGTGATGTAATTTATCGTCCATTCGGACATTTTGAAATAAAAAACAATCCAGGGAATGTATTGCCATTGGAATCGCGCATACCCGACACAAGACCACAGTAAACACTTTTGAAGACTAATATGAAGACTATAATAAACTCAATAGTAAAATAATCTAACAAATATACCAACTCGATAGTTTCACAGACTTCTTTTAAAATCATTGTTTTTAATCGAACTGAGAGTGTCGACTGCTTGCCGTTTACACGCCGAGTTAAAAATTGGCCTTGATGTTGAATTCCGGTCATATGGAGAGTAATGCGTAATTGTGTGATACATTTTTACCGTAATCGTGTACAAAAATTTAATTTTCAGTTAACACTTTGGCATTACGGTCTCTTCTTATAATCGCCAACTTGTTGAATTATTATATTTATCAACTGACCGAATATTGAATTTATAATTATTTAACTAACAATGATTTTCCGCGATTACTTTCTGTAATTTCTGTAATTCGAAATAATACGATCTCACGGAACGGTAAAAACTGTTTGAGTAGATATGACACTCGCACAGGCTCTATAGATATTGCACGGGAATCGATTTTTAAAAAATACATTTATAATAAACGAAACGATTTAATCAATTATTAGTAAGCTGAATATTATAAAGTCACGAATTCTATCTCTTCCTCTATGTATATATATATATAAATAGGACTCTATTCCTTTGTCACGGCATCATTTGAGAACTCATTTACCGATTTCATTCGTCTTTCTTTTGTATTAAATGGGACATCGCGGAACACGTCCTTATACATATACATTAGGTCTTCTAAAGTCGCGGTTCTGAGAGGAACGTGTGGTGATGATGAAATGACAGTGGCTCTAAATAATAATATATGTCTGTTTACTGTATGGTTGCTATTAGTTGCAGATTAAAATAATAATAGTTTATCGGTTGCTGTTGGGCACGTTTGCTGATTTGTATTATTAATTTTTGTTAATAATATATTTAAGTACGAATTGTAATGGTATCTGAGATTTGCACTCGATACCGTTGCACTAATATTGTGAAACGTTGTCTTTATAATATACTCTATGGACAAAAATTTGAAAGGTTGATCAAAACGCATCTATGTTAATTAATAAAAGCACAACATTGCAAATAGAATCTTTCAAAACAACTGTCTGCTTGAGTATATGATTTTAATTGGCTGTGGAGTTGAGGAAACGGCCTTGGTTCTTAGAATACCAATGATACCAACCAATCTACCATTCCAGTTTAAACGGTTCCAATTTCCCGTGAAACTATGTTTTTCAATAACCATAAATAATGCACAAGGTCAAACATTAAATGTTGCTGATTTAAACCTAACCGTTACCCATAGTCATTTGTACGTAGCTGTATCACGTGTCACGTGCAAAAAAAAATTGTTCGTGTTGGCCCCAGAAGGTGAGACACTTAACGTGGTGTGTCCAGAAATATTTAATGCTTAAGACAAATAATAATTTAAAATTTGAAAATATATGTCTTTTAATCTTTTAATTACTTTTAATCCGCCGAAGGTTTCCACCTATTTGTTTTTATTCATTACTGACACGGTCAAAACCAAAAAGGAATATGGGTAAAAAAAAAAAATTAACACGGGCAAGGTCAGGCAGGACAGCTAGTTACTTGTACAATTTTTGATCGAAAAGAGTCTCGCTCTTTAGCATATTATTAAAACTAAACCGTTCACTTGAATATTTTCCTGCTGGTTTTTTTTCGGTTTTTCTTCTTAAAAAAAAAAAAAAACCCCAACAAATCAATAATATTCCGAAAAACGACCTTCCTAAAAAAAGGTAGGTACTAATAACTACTATAATAGGCAAAAGTTGTCTACGGATAGGCGCGTATCAAAATAATTGCCGGACGAAACTTTTACTGCATTGAAAATTGTTTTCCGAGAAAGCAAAACCACGCGCAATATTTAAATATTAAAATTCGCAAATAAAATATTGTAGGTAGTCTGCAACAGAGTTGGCAGGAATAAAACAAATTGTTTTGTTTTTAATTGCTGCAAAACGCATCTACGTTTATAAGGGGCCGCTGTACCCGCATGTGCTGTTCCAGTCCAACTAACGGACAATTATTTAGCAAAATCTACCAAACACAGATTGCGTAAACTCGCTTTTTAGTTTTGATTTCAGGGTAAAAGCACCGATTATGAAAAATTAAAATAGGACAATATTCCAAGGGACGAGAATATGCGTTTCTTTTTTGAAATGATACAGCCGTTTAAAAACGATAAATTAGTTTTTATTTCTAAATGATGTATTGAACGTTACATACGAAACAATAATAGAAAAAACGCATTGTCCTGCCCTACGGAATATTGTCCTCTTTTCATTTTACAATAGACGATTTTACTCTAAAACCAAAATTAAGTGGGTTCTACGCAGTGAATGTGCTATGTTGCCCGTTAGTTGGACTGAGACAGCACACGCGAGTACCTATATAGCGTCCTCTAATAAACTAAATATAAACTCCGAGAGTCAAAAAAGTTTCTAAATTACAGGTGCATGAATTAAAATTTAGCCACTCGAGGTTGTTTGGTTTTTTTTTTTTTTTACATAAACACAATGTAATAAAGCAGTTATTTATTACTTGATATTTAAACAAAAATGTTTAAAAACATTTTGTTTATTTTGTGCGCCACGGTCTCAACGGAATAATGAAAACAATTATAATTATAATTTACTGACATAAAGTGGAGTGTACACCATGCGATTCGAACGTTCAAAATTAAACATGTTTTATACAGGTCTCTTAATTATGAGGAAACCCCTAGAAAAAACGCCGGGAAACTCGTAACTGTTACATTTTCTCCTTTTGTTTTATTCTATTTTGTTTATTCAATAAAAAATAATCGTAGAGGTCAGAAATTCCACTGAATACTTTTATAGGTATAGTCTCTTATGTATAGTTTTTTCCAGAAATGGTACCTTGTATCCTCCATTGCGTCACACGCGTTCCACTTCGTAAAAAAAAAAATTATAAAGGTACGCTTACATTTCTGAAAAATTTGAGGTACTCCGTCCTCCTGCGCCCCCCCTCCCTATAATTCGAGCACTGATCGTAATCGATTTACAACAAAAAATCAAAATCGAAAATAGTGAATGAATGAAACATAGGTAGGTAAATTAATATTATAATAAGTAACAGTTGTATTCAATACAAATATTTCAGAAACATTGAATTGTTATTAAATGTTATATAGTTATGTATTCCCGTAGTTATGTATGTTTCTGGTGGAAAAGTTGTTTATTACAGACAGAGAAAAAAAAATACACCATAGTAAAACCAACGTGTCCCTCACCACACCTACGATCAGAATCGAAAATTGATTGGTTGGTCTTATTTTATATATGTTCTCGTGTCCTAATTATTGTTTATCGGTGGCGCACACGGATACAGGGTGTAAATTCCTGATGTTTTTGTGTCACGGAAAAGTTTAAAAAAAACTTAACGAGTTTTAAATATTAAAACAAAAAGTTTGTTGGGCGGACTGATTACTTTTGTTAATATTTAATTGCATGTGTTTTCATAATGCCTATGTACCTACTTCACCAATATTGTTAAATTAATCTTTTTCGCTTTGATTTTTCGTTTGATAATCTAGTTTTTCGTCTTTTTAAAGTTTTGTTTGTAAGTTATTATTATACGTCTAGTCGAGTAATAGTTGAGTTGCAATGCCAATGAACCGTGTTTCTTTAAATTAATTAAAAAAAAAAAAAAAACTTATAAAAATTTGAATGTAAAAAATGTAACTTACAATGATTATTTTTAAAACCTACAAAAGTGAAATTTTCCAACAACCATATTTTACACAATACGCCAGTGGTTCTCCGCCTTTATTGATTCGTGTCGCCCTTATCCACAATAATCCAACGCCGAGTCCGCCCTACCAATGCATGATCCATTGACATTAAACGGAATTCTAACGGTGGTATAGTTGAAAAGTGAGTAATGTGATGGGAATATTGTGCTGTTTGAACGGCGTTGGTGGCGGTTACATTTACACGACGGCGACGGCAATAATATGACACATTATTCTTAACAATTAAATGGTCTCTTATTATTATTATTATTATTATTTTTTTTTTTTTTTCACGCCCGATGATTTCGTGTCGCCCCTACACTGGGTTCATGTCACCCCACGGCGACGTGTCATCCCGGTTGAGAACCACTGCATATATTAGCATTTTAAGCGTAAAAACCTCATTCATAACCTGAAATAATAAAACAAACACAAACAATACCTATGATGTATAATAGGTACGGTTCATTAAAAAAAAAAAAAAAACTAAGCCGCAGGTATTATTGGATTTTGATTTTATTATAACTGCAGTGGTACGGTAACATGCCGCCATCGGAAAATAATATCATTAGGTAGGTATTAAAATATTACCATTTAAAATCTAATAATAGTGTATTGCTCGTGCTGGAGCTCAACGTCATAATTTCAGACCGTAGAATATTCATTTATACGTTTTTATTTTTATTTTCATATTGTTATTATATTGTTATTTTTTTGTAACACGTATAAAACAGTTTTGCTATTTAATATCCCGATACGAATGTAGGCGAATACCTAATGACCATTGGATTTCCTTGCAAGTGTTAAATCCTTGATAATAACATTCTCAATTGGATTAAAAGTTAAATCGTTTGAAAATAATATCATAGTCGTCTTTACGGCGAGTGTGTTGCCTTCATATTGCCTACTACATACTATACAGGTACTTCTTCAATGTTCCCAAGTAAATTGTCGGTGACTAAACTTTGGGTTGCCAAACGGTATTTGGTTTTTGTCGTTTCTGAGACACAAGTACCAATATTATTTTCCATACACGCGATTTATTGTTATTACGATACTGTAATTAATAATTATACACGGCGCTAATGATCATTGCGTTGCATTGTTGATGATTTTTGGTATATTTCCAAGATTATCGGTTCGAGAAATCAAAATTGATGAAAACGAAATATATTTTATATCAAAAATTAAAAATGAACAGGAAAAATGAATTATTAAATGGGTATATTATAGGTATACATATCGTGCATATCTATTTGTTTTTTTTTTTTTTTTTTTACTCACAGTTTATTGCATCTTTAAAATTATTTAAATCAAATTTTAATATCGCATAGTATATAAAAAAAAAAAAAAAAACCACATAGGTATGTAAGTAGTACACTGGGAAATAATGGTCATTATTTTTTTTTCAAACAGATGTTTCCAAAGACGGTGGCAAAGTTATTAAAATAAAAACTTAAATAATGAGTTTAGTCATCGCTTAAATAGTATAATTTTGAATAGGATTAAAACAAAAAGTTAATAACATTATCCAATTATTCAACCGAAATTATACCCAACTTAAATTTCTAACTTTTTTTTTATATATATATATTATAATATATAATTTTTCAGGGATAATATTATTTGAATTTGATTGATAATTTATATTTTTGATGAAATTATATAGTTGACCATATTCATAATACTAACACATACTACAAATGAATGCCACAATCATCCTCTTGACTGTTTAATGCGCCCAGCCAATACTTTCACCAACCATCACTTTAATTCACCTAATTCAATCACTGTTATCTAATTAAAATTATTATTAAACATATTTTATCGTATGTATTTTTTTTTCTTTCATTCTGTACTCTGGGCTCTGTCCGTTATTAATAATAATAAATAATTATTAATTGATATCTGACAAATGCATACGAAATAGGCAATGCAAATAAAATAGAATCAACCAGTTAATAAAAACTCATAGGCAATGACGTGAGAACTTTTCAATAAAACTTATTAATTTATTGACCGAATAATGCGAAACGTGTGGGAAATAAAATTTTAAAATACTTATACGGTGTATAATAATAATTAAAAATAGATAGAATTAACAAATAAGAACTTACTAATCAATATTTTAATATCTTTTAAATAATATTTATTTGATTTTAAGCTTCTATTGAGTTGACTATAATTGCATCTATGATTTATTTACCTCATTCAATTGGAAACTTATTTTCCCTCCCTATGACCAAGCCATGGCCGTGCTTGCTGATGCCATTTATTTCTCTATTTTATCTTTTGTACCTCAGTTTATTTATCATCATTCTGTTTTTCTTGCCTGGTTTACTCCAGAGCTTAAGAAATTCATCTTTGCGAAAGACCAGTCTCACTTCATATTCAAATCATCTAGCTCTCAATCCGGTTATCCAACTGTTTCCATAATAATAAATACAAATTTTTGTCGAAAAAGTGTCACTGTGATTTCATTTCTTGCACTGAATATTGTATTACACTAGTACATGCAATTTGGTCTTCACTAGCTACATCTACGACTCTTTCCGTTTGCACATTCAAGCAGATATTATTTACATTGATTTTGCCTAAGTGTTCGACAAAATTGACCACACATTGCCGATAAATTCACTAGACCTCCTAAGAATCAATGATCCACTACTATCTGGGCTTCGTTCATACCTTGCTGATCGAGTATTATCTGTCGCCGTCTTCATTTAATTAATAATAATAATTATAATTCAAATATTATAAAACAAGTCTCTCAAGATAATACTTTGAAACTGAAATATATTTTTCATTTGTTTCAACTTGTATCTTGAACTCAAAGTATATATATAAATATGCTTACATTTAACATAAAGAAAAAATAAGGGTCAACAAATATTTTTAATTGATCAAAATATGAATCAATCTTTGTAATATCAAGGCAATTTTAAAATACGGTTTGTAAAAGAATGATTATATTCATGGAATGAAATGATAAATATTAAATATCAATACTGTAAATATTAAACATTTTAATTTTAATATCACCTGCCGTAATAAAAAAAGTCGCATATAACATTTTCTGACTTTTAACATAATCTCATTGAATGAATAGATATTTTTCGCGGGCGTTGTTTAAAAAAAAAAATACGACCTTTTTTTTCGCTGCATCAAGCGATACAAAATAAATTATTAAAATTTAGTGTTATCAATATTGTTATTATAAAAACACACTTTCTTTACTAATATGAATACTAGTCATTTGAACCACAAACAAAATTGTAAAAACAATGCGAATATTTAATCACAAAACAAGAAACGATAGATGTATATATAAATAAATTCCGTGTTAACATTTTTTAATAAAACAATTATAGCTCATCTCTAGGATAACCATATATTACTATTTATATAGTTTTATATTTATATGGTCTGAACCAGCTAATTAACATGTTGTATTAAAGCAATGTTGACATAATTTCGTTTTCACAAAATCAATACACAAATATAATGCTGTAATACAAATGCAAATTATAATTATGATAGTTGATAAATAAATCAAAGTTCAAAAATAATGAATTTTTTCTTTTACAAAATTTATTCAGACTACATACTAACATAAAGTTAAAACATCGACCAGTGTCAATTTACTAAATTTCTGCATCTTTGGTGGTCTTATCTTTTGAATCACTGGTTTTGTTCCAGTCTTGAAGTCCTTTCGGTAATGTTGTGTCTTCGTCCATTGAACCAGTTCCTTCTACAAACTCCTCATAAGTTGATTTTTCTTGGAAAGGCCTAGCACCTAAGAGTTCAATCATATCTTCTCTACTAAGGACTTCTTGTTGCAATAATCGTTCAGCGACCTACAAATTAAAAATATTAAAAAGTTATACTTAAAATATATCTAGTTAAATTATATTTATAATAGACTTGTAAATAATAAAATATACAATTTATAAGTAATAAAAAAATAAAATTGAAAAGAGAAAAGAAGACATTGTTACGAGTATTAACTTGCGCGTAGTATAAAATGTTCATATTATGATTTTCCCAATGATTTAATTTGTGTACACAGATTTATAAACATAGCTAAATACAATTTAAAATCTAAACTCTGTTTTTATTTAGAATATATTTATGTATAATAAAAAACACTAGATTAAAGTAAATAATTTAAAAATAACATGACACTTTTTCAACACTATAACATTTATGAATACAGATAATATACCTACATATATTTTATTTCCTGAATAATGCTCAAAGGTTTCTCCTTCTGGTTATTATAGTTGATTAAAATTCATTGAAACAAGTATTAATGTCTACTTTATGTGAAAATACACAACCATAAAACATTACCTTTATAATGTCACTCTTATGTTTTTTGACTAACTCCATAGTATGGTCATAAGCTTGGGTAACCAATATTTTCACTTCCGAATCAATCAAATGCGCTGTGGTTTCGGAATATGGCTTTTCAAATGCCATTTCTCCTGGTTGAGGTAAATCGAAACTAACATTACCAACTTTCTCGTTCATACCAAAATGTGCAATCTAAAATAATGATAAATTATTTGAATAAATAGGAGTAATGAATAAATCCATAAACTTTTTATACCTGTGCGTATGCATTTTCTGTAACTTTTTTCAAATCATCTTGTGCACCTGTAGTGATTTCATTGAAGAATACTTGTTCAGATACTCTTCCACCAAGAGTCATGCACATTCTATCAAATAACTGACTTTTGGAATACAGATATTGTTCTTTGGGTAAATATTGAGCATATCCTAATCCTTTTCCTCTTGGTATAATTGAAACCTAACAGCAATATTAAAATTAATATGTAAGATACTATAAAAAAGACATGATACTGATATTTGTTATCTAAAACTTTCACACACATAAAAAGGTAAGCGGAAATAAATGGCAGTTCTCATTTTCAGCAAGCATTTTATTTTTTAATATTATTAATTTAATAATTTAAATTTTTTATTTATGTTTTATACAAGTTTGTAATTATTCATTTACAATATCTGTATAATAAATTTAATTATTTTAATTTCATGAAATATGATTTTACTGTGTAAAATTAACGCAAAAGTAAAGTAACAAATTTATAAGTTTAATTGTTTTCATCAATACTTTTAATAGTGGATCTGCAAATTTTAAGAACCAACCACAAACAGCATGACCCGCTTCATGATAGGCAACAATTTTTTTCTCGTCTGCTTGCAAAACTCTACTTTTTTTTTCCATACCAGCTACTACTCTTTCAATGGCTTGTTCGAAATGTTTTTGTGTAATAGAAGTTGATAAATCTCTAGCTGCTATTAGAGCAGCTTCATTGCACACATTAGCTATGTCCGCACCTTTAGGAAAGGAAATCCATCTTTTAAGAGTTTTAAATTTATTTTATAGTATGATATTAAACTATACCTGTAAAACCAGGTGTACGAGCAGCTAACTTTCTAGCAGTTTCTAAAATATTCAAATTTGTTTTCAGTGGTTTTAAATGTACTCCGAAAATTGATGCACGGCCTTTAATATCTGGTGCTGGAACATATATCTGTCGGTCAAAACGACCAGGTCGCATCAATGCTTGGTCCAAAACGTCTACTCTGTTAGTAGCCGCTAAAACTACAACATTAGTAGTTGTATTAAATCCTAAAACAAAAATACATTAATATTAATACAGATGTGTACCAAGTTTTAGTATTATAATCGCAGTATACCATCCATTTCTACGAGCAATTGATTTAAGGTATTTTCTTGTTCAGAGTGACCACCCAAGTTACGACCACCTCTCTTTTTACCAACTGCATCAATTTCATCAATAAATAGTATACACGGAGCATGTTTACGAGCCATGGTAAACATATCTCTAACTCTGGATGGACCCACACCAACAAACATTTCTAAAAATTCTGAACCAGACACTGATAGGAAAGGTACATCTGCTTCCCCAGCAGTTGCTTTAGCAAGTAGTGTTTTACCAGTACCAGGGGGCCCTAAATATAAAAATAAATGCATGTATTTAATAAATATTTAATAGAACCAAACTTTGTAATAAAATAATCATACCCGTAAGCATTGCTCCTTTGGGAATTTTGGCCCCAAGGTCTAAATATTGCTGTGGATTCTTCAAAAAGTTAACAAACTCCATAATTTCTATTTTAGCTTCTTCACAACCAGCAACATCTCTAAATTAGCATATTAATTTCAGATACTATACAAATAGTATACATAATATGTTATAAATATAATTTTTATTTACTTGAATCGGACATCAATATCTTTTGGGTCGACAAGTTTAGCTGTTGAATCCATAACACCTCCAAAAAGCCCACCTCCTTTTCTTCCACGGCCAGTCATCATTTCAGCAGATCTTCTCATCATGAATAATAAAAATCCTATAAATAACAATGTCGGAAGAAATCCAGAAAAACTGCTTGCTTCTAGTTCTGTTTTATAAACCACTGGTACATAATTAGATGTTTCTAAATTCAGTTCAAGTTGTGCATTTTCTAAACTTCTTTCGAAAGAGTCAACACTGCCAATGTTGAACCATAAAGTTGCCTATAAAATATTTGTAATAATTATAAAATAATTAATATGTTTTATCCTGTTCAATTTTATCATACATTGCCGTCGACAGAAGATCCTGGCTGTAAATTAACACGAACCCATTTCTTGTTAACAACTTCTAATTTGTCAACTACATGTCGATTCAAATAACTGATAAAAACAACGAGTATATTAATGAATTAAAAAAATGTCAAATTTATATTGTTATGACTTATGAGTGTATGTTGTAATAATTATAAAAAGATCTGAAAGATCTATTTATGAAACAATAATAATCATTTTAAGCTAAAACATGTATAAACTTACTTATTAACAAAATCTCTCCATGTGATTTCTTTGTAACTCCTGTTATAGAATGAAATAAGACTGACTAGACCAATAGCAGCAGCCACACTATAAAGTATCCATTTTTCTTTTTCAGAATCACCAGGACCACCCCTGGAATAAATCAATAAACAATTTAAACATATTTCCATTCAAATTTATTTTATTTTTTATAGTTATTCAGTTTAAATAATCATAGACCTAAAATGTTCACTGAATATTCAATATTAACATTTTCTAGACTTAGTATAACTTTGAAGTCAAATGTAAAGCTGCGGTTTATTTTTAAAAGTATTTAATTACAAATTTATAAAATGGTACATAGATTTTAATTTTTCAAAAATTAAATGAAACTGCATAGGATCACAATTGGTTTGCGATAGTTTTTAATTTCATACATTATACAACTAAAATTACCAAGTACCATAAAATATATCCAACTTCTCACCTATAGCAATGGCTTAACTACTATATATAATATTAATAATTAATAATTAATATAATATTATTATGCAAGAATTTCTTGAAATGATTTTTCATTTGTTAAACATTTAAATTTTAACAATTTTAATTCAGTTTTATTTATTTATTAAAATATCATTTAAATTAATAAAGTTGTGGTTACTGTTTAATAAAACTTACAATTATGATTGAAGACAATTTAAGGAATGTAATTAATTAAAGAATGGCTAAATTGTAATTTTTTCTAAAATTAACTTGACAATTTTACAATAGTACAAGAATAGATAATGTGTTTAGTCCTTACATAGGTATATTTGTATGTATATTCTAGTAAAACAAGTAACCTTGATATATTATTAAGCAATGGATGAACTAATATTTGAACATATGTTCATTAAAAACTATAAATTTCTGATAAAATTTATGATATTAAAGAAAATATTTGTTAGAATTAAAACCAAGAAAAATAATGAATACTGTATTTACACATTTATATAATAATTTTAAAGATTGATAGTTTGTTGGCATTCTACCATTAGTGACAATATTATGAGATTGCACAATATTGCAAAATAACATATTATTTGAACAAATTCGATAATTTCTTTACTTACTTTCTAAACATAAGATATATAAAGTACAAATTATATATTAAATGTGTATACATTTGTTAATATATCAGAATTTAATTATTGATTATCTAGAAAATTAGCAATGAATGAAACAAAATGAATATAGTATAATTAAACAATGTTTAAATGTGTTATCACTATTAAAAGGCAAGAAAATTAAATACAACATTTAAAACTATAATAGGTATGAAATGGGTAATTTTTTTTTTTTTAACACACTGTAATCAATTGTATTACATTATATTTGATGGTAATAAGTTCAAAACTAAAAAAATGATAAACAGATTTTGAATTCTATACATTGCATACAAAAATTTATATCAAGTACCTAGGTTAATATCTAATTTATTATGCAATAAAAATTGCATACAAATAAAAGATTCATTACCCTTGTGACAATCGGCTCATCCTTTGTTTAAATGCATTTTGTTCAAATGGTTTTCTACCAGAACTGCTAGACTTTTTGTCATCTTTACCTTTTTTATCTTTATCAAAATACTTTTCAAAACCTGACGGTGGTTTTTCACTAAGATGTGTCCATTGTTTGAGTACTGTACCCAAACTTGGCAATACTTGGCGCCTGCTCAACAGGTTCAAATGACGATTCAACTGTTAATACACGAAGACAAATTTAACAATTTTATTACTATTATTATAACTTATTTTATACATTTTATTAATATTGTTATTTATTATAAGTCTTAACACATTAGTCTGAATGATTGACACTCACCGCAAAATTATCTAACCGGCCTGTACGAATTCCATTCATCAACAACCTTTCCACCTTTTTGGATATAGTAAAAAATCTTTGTGACATATCTACTACCTAAAAATTAACTTAAAAATATTTATAGTATTCAAATTTCTAGGTAGATTTAATTTAACATCACATTTTTTTTCACTATAGAAAATTTGAGTTATCACGACAATCGTATAACCCACAGCAGGGACAGGACTACGACCGGTGATAGCGCGCAATGTTGCCAACTGTAATTTTTGTTTCGCCAGGCTAATATTATTAATTGGCTGGTTGGAGTGCTCTTTGACACCGTTGTTTGCCGCGTCGTTTTCAAATAATAATTACAATATTTTGGAAATGGGTATTTTATTATTGTCGTCAATCGTTACCATTAACGTCCAGCATCGAATTTTACCGTTTTTTTTTTTTTTTTTTGTCATATTTGTGCAGCAGTACATACTAAGTTTAATTTGGCAGTTATTTATGAAATATAATACAAAATATATCATGTTCATAGACACCTGTGAAGGTTTTTTTTTTGTCCAAGTAGAGTGATATAGTATTTTGAACAACTTATATTATTAATAGGGAACAATGTTTTTGAAATTATTGGTTGATATTATACTATTTTGCTTGCAATCGATTTATAATATAATACATAATACACATATCTACATTATACAAATATTTCAAAACAATCTAATACACCTAGGCGTACAATGTACCTATATAATTATCATAATTTAATATTAAATCATTTTTCAAACACAATAACTTTCGGTCACTGTGAGTAACTATAAAAGGACCATTTCTGCAATGATACTTATAATACCTACCTATCTATTTTAAACATTTTTTTTTTTTTTATAAAGACCTAAATAATAATTATTTTTTTAAATTTAATTTCAAACAAAATGTTTATGTTACAGCTGTTCGCATTGCATCGTTACTAAATAATATTAGGTAATCGAATAACCAATTTTTTCAAAAGTACCAAAAGTATTGGTTACTCGTATAAGTGATACGAGAATATTATGTTTCATTACATACCTTTAGTTCCTTATTGTTTATTAATTACATATTAATTATTATTTAATGCGAATAGTTTAAACACCAACATTTTGTTTTAAAATGCATTGATAAAATGGTTGTCTCGGATTTTGTAAAAAAAAAAAAATGTATTTGTCTATTATTTATAATAAATTTTACATAATTTTTAATGATGTATACATATAATTAAAAACTATGGTTTAGTATTATAATGTACAGATATACCTACACTAATCGTTTGAAAAAAAATTGTAAAAATCGTTGTCGTTCAATACTTGGGAGTATACAGTATTCGTTATGGGTAACTTACAATTTACAACATATTGTAATGTCCAACTATGATTCGATGACGATCATCATAATATATTATACACCAATTGATCAGATATTTGACGTCCGTTGGCTATATATGTAGATATCGAAAACGATGTTGTAAAGGCATAGAAAAAAAAATTGTGCTTATTTGGTGAGGGGGCTGACGCAAGGGTGAAGTGTTGACCATAATATAATGTGTGAGGACAAAAAAATAGTTCGTTTTAACAGTATACAATGTATACGATTGATAATTGAACCAAACCAAATAGATGATAAATTTATTGGTAAGTAAATAAACATTAAGTTTAAAAAATATATTGAATACGTTTAATAATTCATAAAATAAAAAATAAGCAATTAATTATATTTAATATTATAATTTTTACAGAAAAAAATATTGACGCATTTATAACAGAAGAAAGCTTAAAACTATTTTCCCGATTTAACATTGATGACGGATTCTTAAAACATGATCCGACTTCTAACTACAACTACCGACAACTAAAATGTGTACAAGAACATCGGAAAATGTATCCAAATTGTAAAAAAAAGCACCTTACAACAACAATATTAATTTTCTTTATTCCATAGGATTTTTTTAGAGTCAAATCAATATAATTCACGAACCATTAGAGATATAAAAAAATGTAATAAAATAAAAGTTATAGCAAATTTAATTTACTTTAAAATATGTGGTATTAAAAATATCGATATTTCTAAAGGTTAACGAAATATTTACGAAAATGTCGAAAATTTTCGTAAATATTGAAAAATGTAGTAAGTTCAAACTTAAATCACAAGTCGGCACGGGTTAACCTTATCTGATCGAACCAAAACTTTTTGTAGTTCGTTTTTATACATATAGGCACAATATTAGGGGGTGAGACCAAACATATTTTAAAATCAAAAATTAAGGAACACCCTAGTATACATAGTATAGGTACCGGAAAATCCGCGGCAGTCATAGGCGCCCGGATGGAGGGGCACGATGACAAACTTTTGTCGAATTGCATATTGCACAAAATACAGAATAGCGAATATTGCCCCTCGCCTTACTCCTCTATCCACATTTCTGCGGTACTACGCGTGATACACACGTGTATAATCATATACGATATAATAATTTTGGACGCAGGTCGGTTACGGCCATTCGCCTTTGCAGCAACGGCGCGGTTTAAAGGCCAAGTTTCCGAGATTAAACAACCGTTAAAGTAATATACGAGAACCGCCGCGCACTATGATATACGTACCCACGTGCATAAATGCCGTACATCCAAAATAGCGCGCGACTGCGTAACCTTTTGGCCTTTGCCGCGGCAATTACCGCGTATTTCGAAAGTATCTATAATAATGCGTACCTAGGTATACCTACGTAATAAGTAATAGGTATTTACCTACGTGACGTGTACAACTGTATCACGTATATAATATACTCGAGCGTGCGTTGTGTTTTATATTGTACGTCTGTTGGCGGTTTTCCAAAATTGAAATAATAACAATAATAATAATAATATAACGTTCGGAGTATGTGTACACTGTTATTATTTTAACGGGGGTGGGGGTGAGGGGGTGCGGTGGGGTAATAGGGGAACGGCGGCGTGCGCGATGAATTGTTAAAACGGATATCGTCTGTACGCCGTAATTAATAACGGTATATTATTATTATATCATATCGAATTCCGCGCACGGAAATCGGAATTGATTGGGTAGATAGATACGATACACACCAACGGATATACGCAAATAATCTACTGACCCATCCCCCCCCCTCATCTCCCTCTCATTTTGGGACGAGCTAACATTATCATCTTATTCTCGCCGTCCATGACGTTTACGCTGCTGTGGCGTCTATATAGAGAAGTCGTTAATTTTTGTTTCCGCCAGAGTCCGTTCGACGACCCGGCTGATGAAGTGGGCGAAGCCGAATTGGTTCCGCTTTAGATTTGTGATGATATTCGCTATACCGGTCGAATTGGTTAAAATTGTCTAGGAATGGGGGGGTCCCATTTTAAAAACAAAAATATATTCTTATTTAAGGTAGGTATATAAAGTAAGTGTGAAAAATTAAAAATGGTTTTAAAATAAAGTTTAAACGATTCTACAAAGATTAATTAAAATAGGAACCAAATTTACTTGAAATATTCCGAAATCAATAATTACCAATAATTACTGGTTCGTGATAAAAAAATCATCCTGTATAAACTAATGTTCTCTTTCTCTATACCTTCGTAGCAAGTAATTTATGACTAATGAACCATATTTTTTCTCCAAGAGAGGGGGGGGGGGTTAGAAACACGGGATCTTCCCCCAGAAAATACGCCATTGGATGTCTGACATTGAACTGTTTTATACTGTTCGTAAACTTTTTAGCTATTTTAGTACCATATGTAATATCACGAAAAAAAATACTGTACATACAATTGCCTATACAATTTGCATTATAATGTTGTGTACACACAATATATTACATTAATACGATATATACGACATATAATAATTAATAATATTATCAACGAAGAAAACATTTCAAAACCGAAACATATAAATTATATTTTTCGAATAAAAAAATTCATTCATTTTTCGTCCGCATTCATAAATAATAATATAAAACATACAATATACATCCACACGCGCCATTCATTATTTTATTTATTAACCGCATTCGCGAGTAAGCAATACATTCATGTTTTTATTAAAGAACGTTTTTTTTTCGCCGTTTCACCACTGCAGTAAGAATGCGTTAATCATTTCATATACTATTTCGATTTTATTATTGAACCATCATCAAATTATATTCTTGATGATAATTTTTGAAAAAAAAAAAAACGATTATTTGCTATAGAGTGAAAAAAAAAAAAATTAACAAATTTTCTGGATTTCAGGATTTGAGTGATGGGGTGTCGTGGCGATCTCCCTTGGACTATTTTTTATTTTTTTTTTAATTATTACTTGAATTACACAGGTATCCAAGGTCAAAACTGAAGGGAGGGGGTTCCTGTGATGTGCGTTTGAACGAAAATATTAGTGTATTACAGAATATGCGTGAGTACATTATATTGTGTAGTTTCATAACGAGTAGCTAAATAGTGAATAAACGTAGCGAGATGAGTGACCAACAACCTGTCTATCTATAGTCTATCGTACATTATAATTATTTTTTTTTTTTTTCAAAGTTATACTAGTCAATATTAAATTTAAATTTTAAAAAAAATTGGCAATTATAGGTAAGTACCTAAATATAGGTACTTTAAGAAATTTAAAAGACATTTAATGTATTTATGTTGCTTCTGCATATAAAAACAATATGGTTACCAAATTGCATTGTTTAAAATACGTTTAGTAAACCGATACAGAGCATTTTTTCGATTGTTTTTAAGACACTTTAGATTCCAAGTGGAGCGAAGAAACTTATGGTTTTATTATTATTATTTTTGTTCTGCGGACAACTTTTCTTCCAGCAATTTTGCTCCAATTTTTAATGATAGCAATTTTTCTAAAAGGAAATTTCACTGGGGTGGTACTTAAAGAGGTCATTTTTCGATTTTTTTACGGAGTTTCGTCAGCTAATGTGGAAACTGGAAAAAACACGATGAAAACCGGGGAAATTGGTATAACATTAAACAAATATTATTAAAGAAAATGTATATAGCCTATTTAATTATTTTAATATAATCAATTGAACTACGATCAGAATCGATTTTTCGTTAGCGATGGTTTATCGTTGCTTACAGATATACATTAAATTCCCGTCTATATCCTACATTCCCAAATTCCTACTTATACCCGTCCCCATTATCTTACCTTTTTTAAATCTGGACCCAACAACTC